GAGTAACACTGCTCTTTGTACTGCATTTGTGCCATAAGCTTCAAGTATTCAGTCAGTATCTTAACACTGGAGGAATGAGAACAAGCAAAAGAAGATACATAGCTATTAGGCCCCTAAAAGCCACAGAAGATAGGCAAAGAGGTAGCTTAAACACTAGCACAGATTTATTTGGAAGAAAAGTGTACAGAGTTAGCCCTGGCTGGCCAATTGAATAAACTATCTTTTAAGATACTGGTCAGCGTCTGTGATTTTGTCCAGGGGCCAGTCCACTTCATCTGGAGGCCCCAGTGAGATCCTATTCTTGCCTGAACAGGATGACCCCTGTCACGACCTGACTCCTGTGTCAGGGGACAGGCCACATGGGCACACCTAGTGGAAGGCCTCTGAGAGACATTCCTCAGACCCAGGTGCCCTTGCTCTGTGGAACCCCTGAAATGGATTCTGGAGTTTGTTCTACCAGTAAGTTTCTGCCTGTCATCATCATGTAAAAACATGAGTTGTTTTAAACTCCCAAGAAAAGTCATCAAGTTTTGGTGTTAGCAAAAACTTGAAAATTAAAGTTCCTCTTCAAAATAATGCAATAGTCCTTTACATTTTTGATAAATCACATAATTTGATTACGATGAACAGCTTAATGCATTAAAACACCAGATCTTTGGTTTCCTGTAATATCCGAGTTACTATTCACTGGCAGAAATTTCTTCCTGTTTTCTGGTCTCAGTCCCTCCTGCAGTTAGAAATATACTTTCTCCCCTTTTCCCTGGGAAAAGAATAGCCATGGGTACAAACCTGTGAAATCAGAAAACAAAACAAAATTATTGATAAAGGGCAAAAAACCTCCTGGTAAAGAAAAACCCCAGACAAAGGCTGACAGTCCTCAGCTTTTGTCTTTCCTCATCCTTGATAAAAAGCAAAAGAACATCGCTCCCTCACTCAAGTTTATCGAACTGGCAGCTTTGCAAAAAGCTATTGACAGCTGAGGCTTATCACCAGCTGCATTAAAATGCTGTGTTAGGAGCTTATAATAAAAATAATTTCTAAAATAGTGTCAATAGCTTTGATAGTATTGATCATGCTGACCAAGTCAAGATTATGTTTTGCCTATGCTCCTGTGACTCAAGGCTATGTTTCTGCCATGTTTTACTTCTGTAATAATAAAATCACAAGTTTCAGTGAGTTTATAAGTGGTTAAACACCTGTCTGGCTGAAAAGTGGCACATCTGGAGAGAGCATGGAATATTCTAATTCCTGAGTGATGTCCTTTTATAATCCATAATCTAGGAGTAAACTTCTTCTGAGGACTGTGAACCATCCTAGAAAATGATCTAACAAAGAAGGGATGATGATTGACATCTGAAGGGGGGCAATCTTGTAAGGTTCATCCCTGAAGTGGATGGACCTGATGATTTATCAATATGTACCAGAGAAATGAATTACATATTTTTGAGAAAAAAACCCACAGATCTCCAAAAGAGTTGAGTATGAGAATAGTTAACTTTCCCCTATATTTGGGCACAAAAATGTAATGGAGAATAGTACTTCAGAAGCTAAAAGAAGGTAAAAATGTGAAGCCCAATGACCAGTGAATAGTTAACTCCAACCTGCACTTTATTGTTGATTCCTAGCCCAATTTGCTTTCTTTTTAGTTGGCTTTTTTTCTAAGTTTTAGTAGCAATTTCTATATATAGTGAATTTTGTTGACCATATGTAAAGTTCCCCAAGTTCCTCTTCAGGGACCTGACATGGAAACTGTCAAGAAGAGGAGACCATATGTCCCAACTTAAGTGCTCCCCTTCCAAGGAAGATTCCCCAAATCTGAAGACTGTTATTGGAATGGGGGTGGGGTTGCAAGGTTACTCTTTGGAGGCCATGTGAATCAAAATGTCTACCATTCTGGTTTTTCACTCTGCTGATTGTCAGTGTGAAATCTGTGATTGACCTACTACCACTGAATTTGTCTGGGACTCCGCTTTCTTGGTTGGAAACCCAATAGATCAGTCGCTGTGGAGACTGGCCTGGCTTCTGCACGAACCAACACAAATATGTTTTTCCATTACTGTACAGGAGGCTCTCACTAGACCTGCAGGAGATGGAGGCCTGATCTCCAAGGGTGACAGGCAGGGAGAGTGGAGTTTGGGTCAATAGAGCAACCCCATTGGATCCTAAAGAGAGAAGTGGACAGGGTTAATTGCAAGTTTCTTTCCTAACTAATACTGGACTATAAAATTTTTAATAATGTTTTATGATCCAAAATCTTCATTAAACACCGCACACACAACACACACACACACACTGATAGTTGTAAACCATGAGGACCTCTAGAATTTACCAGCACTTTCTGCTTATCTAGTCCTAAGCAGAACAAGGTTCTTTGGTCCTTCTGGAATCTTCCTCACTCTCACAGATACATATATCATCTACCCATCCAGGAGGGAAAATGTGCACCTCTCACGAGTGGATACATCACACATGAGAAGAATTGGGCACCAGAACTCAGCCCCTCCCCATCTCCTTCCTCAGCTCTGGTGTGTTCTTACCTGGGATCCAGAGCATGAGCAGCCCCAGGAGTTGAGCAGGGCAACTCATTCTGAGAGTAAGCAGTTCTTGTCAGCCCAGGCAAGCTTAGAGCTGAGCTTTTATGGTGGACTTGCAGAGAAGCTCCTCCCCAGGGAGCAATATGCAAATATCCTGGTAAGTGCAGTTGTGAGAGACAAATTGTCAGAAGAAAAACAAAGTGACACCAGGAGGGTGGGGCCTCTCCTGTTAGTTAGAATCATTAACTATGATCAAGAAACTTGGAAAAAATTATATTAATGAAGTAAGCCAGTCTCAAAGAAACAAAGGTCCCATGGTTTCCCTTATCTGCAATAACTAGTATATGTCTAGGACAAGCAGAAGAGGTCAAAAGCTATGTACAAATGACCATATAACCTGATACTAAGCCAATGAACCCCAAGAAAGAGGCACAAGAGATTTTATCTTTCTTGTTGTTCTTTTTAATGTACTAATAATGTACTTTGTGATTTTTTTCTTTGTATGTTTTTCTTCCATTGTACAACCCCTGTTTTCACTGTATTTGATTCCGGTGTCCTGCATCTTGTATATACCTATTTTAATTTCAGGAGGGGAAGGGAAATGACAAAATGCTGAAATAAGGATACAGGATGACCATTGTAACAATAAGATGTACATGACACTATGTTGAAAACAAAACTTTACAACTTTGCTGGGGGGAGGGGTTAGAGAGGAAGGAGTTGGAGAGAAAAGGGATGGTAAGGGAAAACAAAAGAGGAAATGGACTCATTACCTTGCTCATGTAATTGTAACCCCTATGTACAGTACCTTCACAATAAAAATACATATTATAAAAAGAAAGGCAAAGGTCGGTAGGAGGATTGGGTGGAAGGGCAGGGGGAGGATGGGAAGGGATGGGAAGGGGAAACAAAGGAGGAGGCTACAATGCTTGATAAGAAATGTATTCATTATCTTGTACATGTAATTGTAACCCCTCTGTACAGTATCTTCACAATTAAAATAAATAAATAATAAAAATAAAGGCAAGAGAGATCTTATATGTGTTCCCTAGAGAGGGACATGCCTTCATGATTCCTCCTTCTCTTTGCCTGCGCCCTAATTCTTCAACCCTTTCCAGGCATGTTTTACAGTTTTCTTAAATAAAGATGCCTTTTCATTAAGTAGTGAGTCATTCTTATTTAGTTTCTAGATATTTATTGAAAAGTTTAAGTTTGGTCATTTTATTTTTTAATTGTTATTTATTATGAAATTTTATTACTATAAAATAACTAACACCTATAACCCTCATAATTTTTAGATAAATAGAAATGGAAGGGATGTCACTCAACTGATTTTATGGAACAAGTATTACACTCATTCCCAAAAGAGAATTCCAACAACAAAAAAGAATTATAGACCCATCTTTTTGATGAACTTAGGCACAATAATTCTCAATAAAATATTTGCAAATCAAATTCACTTCACATTAAAAGATCATAAAACATGATCAAGCATATTGGTTTCTATCCTGAAAAAGAAATTTTCACCATATAGATATCAAACATAATGCAGGACTTAAATAGAATCAAGATTTAAAAAATAGCATGATTAACTTATCCAGAAAAGCTTTTGACAAAGTTCAATAGCCTTTTTATGATACAAATTCAAATGAGGCCTGGAAATGTGGCTTAGTGATAGTGTTCACTTAGCATGCATGAAGCCCCAGGTTTGATTTCTCAGTAACAGATAAACAGAAAAGGCTGGAAGTGGTGCTGTGACTCACGTAGTAGAGTGCTAGTCTTGAGCAAAAGAAGCTCAGGCACAGTGCCTAGGCCCTGAATTCAAGTCCCGGGACTGGCAAAAATAAATAAATAAAATTGCAATAACAAGTATATGTCTGAGACAAGCAAAAACGGTCAAAAAATTTGATGTTAGGTGAAATGAACCCCAATATCAGGATTCAAATGTTTTTTTTTCTTTCTTTTGACTGTTTCTAACATATTTATAAGATGATTTTTTTGTTGCTTTGTATGTCCCTCCCTCACAGAGTAACACCTGCTTTTGCTGTGTTTGAGGTTGGTATAATTTGTGGAGGGAAAGGGAAAAATCAGATCATTTAAATAGGGATGCAGGTGGACCCGTTGCAAAAATGAAATGTACAAGATGTTATGTCAAAAAACGATCTTTACAACTATGGCCAGGTTGGGGGGGAGGGAAGAGGAGGGGGATGTCGGGAGGAGATGGAAAGGGCTGGGAAGGGGAAACAAAGGAGGAGGCAACAATGCTTAATAAGAAATGTACTCATTACCTTGCCCATGTAATTGTAACCCCTCCTTATGGTATTTTCACAATTAAAAAAATATATATATATTCCATAAAAATATTTTAATAATGAAAAATGAGGAAATTGTCAAATGTGATGAGAAGCCAACTGTATTTTATTCCCATTGACCAACTTTGTGGTGTTTTCCCTATCAAGTAACAAAGATAATTTTACATTTTGCTGTAGAAACTTGGATCCGTAAGTATATTTCAACAAGGAATGTGATGGTTATAAGCCATCAAGTTCTTTCCACAGAGCACACTTAATTTCCAAGAAAAAATAATGCAGCTAAGAAAAATCAAACAACCATTACCTTAGAATAGAATTGAAGTGAAGATCATCAGTAATGGAACTGAGTGACAACAGGGACTTTCAAGTGGATATCCTGGGAAGAACTCAGAAGTACTGCTGTACATTCCTCTAAGCATGGATTCTTGAATCTAACCGTGAGGGAAAATGCACAAGTCCACACCAAAGGACATTCAGGAATATAAGTGGTTGTGATCCTCAAGACTGATAAGATCAGGGGACTGAAGAGACTTTGGAAGATTTCCAGGGAAGAGGAAGAAAGGCAGATCTAGGAAAATCTGACCTAGACTGAACTATTATGTGACAAAAGACAATGGGAATAATTGTCAGTGTTTGACATGAGCCTAAGAAAGGATTAGACTTGTATATTAAGGTTATCTTCCTGGGGTACGAATGCTGATTTCTTATTTGTTGCAAATAAATAGAAATACACAAGAGAGTATATTTCTTACTACTTCAATTTGCTTCAGATGGTTCAGGGAAAATCTACTTTGTGTTGTACTTTTAACATTTCTTCTTGAAATAGTTTCCCTTTAAAAACTCAAACAGCACTTGTTGAGTACACACTGAAGATGTTCTAACACCTTTAACAAGGTGGCCTTGTCTCATTCTTGTAGGCATTAAAAACAGTAATTAGCCTGGCATGGGTAGCTCACACCTGTAATCCTAGCTACTTAGGCTGAGATCTGAGGATCACAATTTAAAGATCGTTTAGGCAAGACAGGCTGTAAGACTCTTATATTCAATAAAGCACCAAAAAAAAAAAAACCCTGAAAGTGGAGCTGTGGATCAAGTGGGAGAGTGTTAACTAAGAACAAAAAACTTAGGGACAGTGCTCAAGCCCTGAGTTCAAGCCCCAGGACTGACACTACACACAAAATAACAATATTCCTGTTATCTTTTTTCTTTTTCCAAGTACAATTTAAGACCCTGGAACTGAATCCTGCATTATGAAAAACAGGAATCCCTGGGTCCTACAAGACTCTCTGACAATAAATCCTCCATTTGTGGTCTGAGAGAAGTCTATCTGAGTTATGATCCTGAGTTGAAGAAAGAGCACGGAGGAGAGTGATTAAGGATAAAGATGGAGGCAGTGTGATTAATAGTGTAATCAGACTACCAGCCTGCAAGTGATAATCAGAATTTGGGCAATCATTGTCTGACTGGACAGTGTCAGAAAGTACTCTGTGAACAGTGAGTGGTCTCAGAGGCACTTGTGAGTAACATTTCAAAATCAGCTGATACTGATTAGCATCATTGGACACCTTCATATTTCTGGTCTCAATTTTTTTCTATAAACCTTAGTTACAAACAGCATTCTTATTTATGAAATAACATGTAATTCTCCAAACAGAATAACTATGATGTAAAGTGTGTGGGCACACATAGAGCTACTTAAAGCATATTGACCATCATCAGTAACAATTTTGATGCTATTGTCTTTCTTTGTTGGGACTGAAGTTTGTATTCAGGAATTCAAACAATCTTGGTAAATGACCACATTCCAGCACTTTGACTCTAGCACATTTTTGAGGGAGAATCTCATGCTTTGTTCTGAGGGTGCTCACAGAACACAGTACTCTTACCTATGCTTTTCATATAATCACAGTTACAGGCTTACAAGTGTGAGGTTTGCTAAATTTTTGCCCTGGCTGCTGAGGAAAAACATTAAAACAACACTACTTTTTTACCTGCCTCTATTTACATTTTATTGGAAAGGTGACATATGGAGGATTTACAGTTACATGAGTCAGGTAAATAGTACATTTCTTTTTGTACAGCGTCACATCTCCCCTCTTTTCCTCCCAGTCTTGCCTTTTGAAATCTGAAATAATCATCTTTGGAACTCCTCATTTTACAGTATGGAGATCTCCATGAAGAGCACATGTGTCCAGTGAAATACGACATTTAGGGAAGAGTGAGGCATGGTGCTTCCATAATCATAGCTAGCTGGAAACCAGTGAACCTGACAGGGCTTACTGTGACCCCAGAAGCACATTGCCTTTTGCTTGCCCTGGTTGAGATGCATTAGAAAATCTTATAGTGCAGATTTAAAGAAAAATGAATGAGACAAAAGATGCCTGTTTTCCCTTATATATGGAAGCCAGATTTAGCTTATAAATTTACTAGTAAATAGGTTAGTTGGTGTACAAATATATACAAATGTATTCATTGGAATATGGTAGATTCCAGGGAGCACTCAAATAGTATAATTCCTTAGAATGGTGAAGTCAAATTTCACCAAAAAAACAGTAGAGGGCAGGCACTTGAATGGAATGGAGTGGGATCAAGGGCAAAGGGGAAGAAGAATGAAGCTGAGAAAAGGAGAATGCAGATAAGAATTCAATGCAAAGCCTGGTGCTGGTGGCTTAAGCCTGTAATTCTAGCTACTCAGGAGGCTGAGATCTGCGGATCTCAGTTCAAAGCCAGCCTGGGCAGGAAAGTCTGAGACTCTTACCTACAACAAACCACTGGAAAACTGGAAGTGGCGCTGTGACTCAAGCAGTAGAGCAATCACCTTGATCTGAAGAGTACAGGGATAGCACCCACACCCAGATTATAAAGAGTGCACAAAGAGTGGATAGGGATGGATAGTAAGAATGTTTTAAGGGATGACATTGATCAAGATGATTGTATTCATAACCTGCTTTTTAAAATGGCAATTCTTTTGTACAACTGCTGAAACATT